CCCCGTACTGCCGCCTCTTGGCCCGTTCGTTGTGGGCTAGTTGGCTCTTGACTTCTGCACACGACCGCAGAGACGCTTTGGGGTGGGTCACCCTTACATCGAAAAACGCGCTCTGCTGCCGTGTCCAAAACCCAAGAGCTCGGATGTCCACTCTCGCTTGGTCGGCATGAGATCCACTGACGTCCTCGCCGTCCAGGGACAGGAGAACTGGTTCCCGTTCAACGTCCGGGACGACGACAGATAGAAGCTCCGAGAGCAAATCCCGGATCTCATTATGACGAGCCGTGGGATACCCCCCGGCAGGGCAGGTCATCGCATGATCCACCGTAAAATCGGGACTCCCACGGCAGATACACGACGTCGGCAAATCATGCAGCGCCAGACCATACCGCAAAGCTAGGCCGTCGCGGAAATCCGACTTCGACAATATGGTGCCGTGTTCGTGCGAGGGTGGAGACGTTACCCACGTCGAAACGCCCTTCTCCTTTGAGGTGTCGAGAAGAAGTCGCTGAGGTGGTGTTAGAGACGGTCCCAGCTCGCTGACGGCGTCCACGAGGGACTCACGGAACTGAGCGCGTGTGCGCCCGGCAACTGCCCTGGACGCTGCAATTGCATCCACCACCCGAGGCCGCCGCCGAGCAAGCCCCGAAGCATCACCCGCACAAAGCCCAGTGCCGGGGCTGAGACTCTGAGCGACCTCCGATGCCGCATTATCCGCACCCGCGGCAGCGAGGAACTCCACAATCGGGCCAGTAGAAGCACGAGAGAGCTCTAGCTGTCTCGCGGCACCCTCGGACGGGACGGGGATGCCTAGACCACCGAGGCGGACAGGCAACGACAACAGCTTACGGAGGGACTCCGGCAGCTCGTCTCGACCGAAAATGCCCTCGCAGAAACGGACGATCACATTGTCCAATGGACCAAAGGCGTCGGCAGGGACCTCACACACTCGCTGCAGAAACCTCCACTTCGCCTGCACTGCGGTCGAGACGACGTGGTACGCAGCCTGGGGTTGGGTTTTGGCGAGCACCGTCAGACGATTCATCAGCGTTAGCCAGGTGTTGATCTGGGACGAGACCCGACCCGCCACAAACTCATTGGACCCAATGTAACCACCCAGGTACCGAACACCATCCGATCGGATTGCAATTCCTGTCCCGTGGAACACTTCCTTCGCCGTTTGCTCGAGCTCGGGCTTGACGAGGAGGATAGACTTCTGGGCATTTGGGAAATACCCGTAGCGTGGACCGACGCTGGATATGCATCTCCAGTACTCTCTGAGGGATGCGAGCTTGGCGGCGGCAGCATCATCATCGGCGAACCACAGTTGCCGACAGTCCGGAGAGGCAAGAGACAGCCTCTGCGCCAGCGGGGACATGGCTAGGGCATAAAAAGCCATTGCCAGGGGGTCACCCTGACAGGTCCCCTCCCTGGACAACACTGTCAGGCCACCCTCCAGAAACAGAGGGATGTCCGACTGATAGAGGTTGACGAACGCACGGCCGGCGGCGGGGCAAATGCGTGGGATATTGTGCAAAGCAGCCGACCTGTTCATGGCGTTAAATGCGTTGGAGGCATCCACAAGAAGAATGCCATCGCATGACTCGGACTGAAACTCTTGGCCGAGAATACCGACGGCAACCTCACAGGCAGATGGAATGCCAACGCACAGTTGGTAAGGCGTGACAGCCAGGAGGACATCCCGCTCGATAGCACTCATGATGGCTTTGCATATGACTCTCCGAAACACCTCGCCAATCGCAATTGGGCGGACTCCAGGTTGCTTGTCGAGTGGTATTAGCCTTGCAGCGAGGAATGGCCGAAGGCAGGTCTCGTCCAACGTTTCCGTGCAGATACACTTGGCCGCCCTCGAGAGAACGCCACACAAGGAATCAGATGCGCCATCGTAACTGGTCATCATCCGCCTCCAGGCAGCAGAATCCAAGGCCGATGGCCCAGCAGCGCCCGACAATCGAGAAGCCAGTCTACGAATCATGGCGGGCGTGATCTTGTCAAACAGTACCGGCTCAGGTGGGTCCGGGCCGCCGGGAAGAAGGATATCGGGTTGAGCATCCACTGGAGCGGGGTGCTTTTCCTTGAGGACATCAAGGACCCGGCGCCCCGGCGCCACCTCTTCAGAGAGGTCAAGTACCCTTCCAGAGGCATTCGACTCCACATAACGGGTGGCAGTGCCCACTTTGCCATGGCTAACCATTCCGGCGAAAACAATGTCGTCTATCCCATCGGATTGCCTGGACGAGGAGCGGGTGGTAGTGTGGCCTGCAATACTACTATATATAGTATATATATACTATCACTACTACTATATATATAATATATTATATATATATTTATACTACTAATATATTTTATATTGTATAGTACTACTACTACTACTACTACTACTACTACTACTACTACTACTACTACTACTACTACTACTACTACTACTACTACTACTACTACTACTACTACTACTACTACTACTACTACTACTACTACTACTACTACTACTACTACTACTACTACTACTACTACTACTACTACTACTACTACTACTACTACTACTACTACTACTACTACTACTACTACTACTACTACTACTACTACTACTACTACTACTACTACTACTACTACTACTACTACTACTACTACTACTACTACTACTACTACTACTACTACTACTACTACTACTACTACTACTACTACTACTACTACTACTACTACTACTACTACTACTACTACTACTACTACTACTACTACTACTACTACTACTACTACTACTACTACTACTACTACTACTACTACTACTACTACTACTACTACTACTACTACTACTACTACTACTACTACTACTACTACTACTACTACTACTACTACTACTACTACTACTACTACTACTACTACTACTACTACTACTACTACTACTACTACTACTACTACTACTACTACTACTACTACTACTACTACTACTACTACTACTACTACTACTACTACTACTACTACTACTACTACTACTACTACTACTACTACTACTACTACTACTACTACTACTACTACTACTACTACTACTACTACTACTACTACTACTACTACTACTACTACTACTACTACTACTACTACTACTACTACTACTACTACTACTACTACTACTACTACTACTACTACTACTACTACTACTACTACTACTACTACTACTACTACTACTACTACTACTACTACTACTACTACTACTACTACTACTACTACTACTACTACTACTACTAC